TCGAAGATGGTTGTCCAGAACGCTCGTCATCATCGACAGCGGTTCGGCCATTTTTAAAACGTGAATGCCACACCAAAGTTTGCGGACTCCCCAAATGCTTGCTTTAGCATTTCATAGGTTCCCGTAGCCGTTTTGGCGAGTCTTTGGCAAAATTTGATGCACACGCCATTCCGAAATCGCAGGAGGGTCGGTGTAATGCACTACCAAAACGCCCGTAACTAAGAAACAAATGCTAATTCGATGATGCCGGCTGGCACACTGATTCACTATGAATGTAGGCCGCACCCCCTATCGGCAGAAGCTCGTACTACATCCGGTTTGCCCTCTATTGACACAGTCTTGAAACTTTCCGATCGCACCTCGTACGTTTCTTAAGGACTATTTGAGATAATTTTAATAGTTCCTGAACAGTTTCTCGTATAGATACAGATATAATGTAGCAGTCACATTGGAATTTATTTTGGCAACTTAACATTTGTTTCTTTGAAGTCAAGAATGTGTAACACCAACAAAATCTAGGCCTATATTTAACTATAATGTGTCTCAGTGTAACATTTGAAATCTACGTATACTATAACATCTAGAAATACACCTACGAAGTAAAACCTAAGTCTCCAAGCATATCAGAGAATTCGTTTGCATAAAGAATAATATTGCATTTCACAAAACTAAAGTACAAGTGAAATAATTACATATAAAAACAAATATTTAACACTTTATATAATGGCAGCGTTTCGGAGGAACATACTGTCTCCATCTTCAGGGCTGAAAACCACAAGACCAGTATCAATCAACACCTTCATCGCCATGAGAACATCAGATCTCTATCTGTTGTTTTTACCTTTTCATCCAGTCGCAATTTATCTGCATTTTCTTTTGCCAATACATTTAACATCGGGGCGAGGTCCTCCGCATAACGAGACATTGGACCAATGGTGAAAAACCTACTCCAGTCCTTGTCCGTTGAAGTAGGATTGTGTCCTGAGTGTGACACGACTCCTAGAAGTATAAGGACACACGATTCAAATATTTGCATAATGCAGGGCTTTGTTCATTTAGATTTTATTATTTAGTCTGGTGTATCACACATTATGAACTATTAATGCCATATATGCGATTATTTAATTCTAGAATTTACTATTTATAATGTCTGCAGCATACAACGATATTAATCATTTCGAATGGAGCTATTCCCTTGTAGTCAGAAGTTTGCAGTTGTTTCAGAAGTTCTTCAGAGCGATCGCCCTCATGATGAAGGCAGCAAGTACCTCTGAAACGTCGGTAAACTTCTGTCAGAATACAACACTGAAGACAGCCATCTTCAACGTAGGGGAAGTTAGTGCTTAAAATGTCTTTACCACGTACAGTGGCTATAAGACACTTTGTTCTATTGAATTTCTAATTAATGTTAGTGGTATTCATGGATTTCTAAGCCTGTGCCTTCTACTCTGTATCTTCTGCAGAATTGAAGTAGCGTCTATTATGAAATGAATAGTTACGGCTGGTGAGTAGCGTGGGTTAAGGACGTGTGTGGTATTTTTAATGGCTGAGGAAACCCACGAAAAGTCTCAAAGCGTATTTGCTCCGACTAATATTGCAAATGTAAATTTACCAAATGGTAGTCCCGTGCGAAGAACATGATTAACTAATTCAATCATAGGAATCTTTTTTTTTAACTTATATTTTCGATGTTGTTGTGATTCGGTTTCTGGATATATTTATGCAATAGTAATGCATAATGGAGAGGTATTTTTTCTGTCTGTCTGTCTACCTTATTTATTTTCGCTTACACGTGTGTTTCACAAAAATTAATAACAGACCTTGTATGGTCTACACCAGTGGTCGCCAACGCGGCGCCTACGTTGTTACGGAAAGAGGTTATACTGAATAATGAAGGCCGTTCAATCATGAACATTATAAAATCACAGCACAGATCTCGACTTGACGACTGTTTGCGAGCAGCAACATCATCCTACACTCCCAAATTTGGAAAACTGGCCGATGAAATGCAGTGCCAAACATCGCACTAACTTCCCACTTGAGTAATAATAATTGTACTTATAAAACTACGTATTTTTGATTGCATCATTAAACGTCGTGTTCTTTCGTATATTATTTGGTGTCCATATCTTATTTGTCCAGAGAAAAGAAAAATTTGGCTTTGTTAATTGGTTGGTGCCCGCCACGATCTTATAAACTCTCAAATGTGCTCGAAGGCAGAAAAAGGTTGCGGACCACTAGTCTACACAAATGCAATATCTGTGCACAATGTGTCTGTGTTATTGTTTTCGAAGTCTTTTAAAAGGGATCTTACTGGCGATTATTTTCATCAGAGTTTCTGACCTGGTGTTGGTTTGTGTGCGAAGATTCCCGTAAACGCTGCTGGTATTCGTAAAGAACCAAGAATATCGGAGCCCAGACCGATGACAGAAGCAGCCGAGGCTAATAAAGCCGCCTATAGAAGCACACAATTGCATTATTTTTCTCATTTTCGCTGGATACTTGGCTGTAAATATGAAAGTGTCATAACACATGAATTCATATACGTTTAAGATGAACATACGGCATAATGTTAATTAACTAGCAATGATACTTCTAGACGGACCTCCTCCACTCTTCATATCTGACCGATTATAAAAAACCACTACAAACATTTCACCCACTCAGATCACGATTAAACAATTAAAATTAAACAAGTGAATGAATGAATAAATTAATGACTTATTAAGTGAAAGAATGGTATATTAAAAGTATACCAACTGTTACTGGATTTCTTAGCTTTGTTCATCGTCTGGTATTTTGAAGGGGACACGACGTTTCCGAAACTGAATCTATTTTCCGTCCTCAGGTTGTCTGAAACAGATGCAGTTTCCGAAAAATGCTCTTTTCAGAATACCGGACGGCGGACAAAGTCCACAAATCCAGTAATAGCAACTGGAAGAGTGTTTTGTATTGTGTATTGCTTTATTTAACAACTTTCATCAACTGTATATTTTATGCAGGTAATTATAATATTCGTTAACACTAAATTTAACAGCTACCAAATTTAACATAAGTGCTTTATCATTCCTGTTTTGGACGAGGAAGAGATAATTTCGGTAGTTTGCGAACAGTTTTAAGGTTTAAGTTAAAATAAAACGTTCCTTGGATATTTTCCATCGTCTAGTAAAATAATAAAATAGAAACGACGTTTCGGAGATGGGGCTCTATCTCCGTCTTCAGGTATCTACTCTGTTGGGCCCAATAGATGGAGCTAATCCCTATCTCCGGACCAAAATAACTCACCATCGTCACGAACTTTTTGATTAGTTATGAGGTTCTTCTATAAATTTAAGTAAAATGCAGTCTGCTAATCGTTTACCTTTTTTTTCTCAATGTCCTGTATCATCTAAAGAGTTCTTACCTCTCCACCTGACGATCCACTGGGTGTTCGTCGGAGGTCGTACGGATTGTTGGTAGTTCCGATTATTTTGTTGTAAGTTTCTATCATCATGCAGAGCTCAGGAGTACTTGTAACCAGAAGGGGTATGGCTCCGGAAGCCCTCATAAGCATCACCGTTTCAGCGTCTTCCTGAGCTTTACGCCCTTGAAATCGTAGTTCCCCAGCGCTGTGATTCAAACCTGAACATGTATTTTAGTTTCATCAAGATTTTGCTTGAACGTCTAACCTATGAACTGGAAGAAGAAGTTCGAAAACTTGGCCACTCCTGTCTCCGGACTTCTCTGTGTTGAACAGTGATACAATTTATTTTCAGCTTTATCTTGAAAATCTCATTGAAAAAAATGATAATATTAATATATGAAGTAAATTAAACGCATTATGACTGAAGCCAGATTCATGCTGAAAGCAGACTCCGACAGACTTCTCCATATGCGCCAACACACCCTCGTTATAACTCTTATGTTTACCGCATCGCGTAAACGACACTCGTCGATTTACGCGTGGCGGATATCGACTATTATGTTGTAAGTAGGTTCAATCCGTACCGCAAAGAAAACAACACTTCTCTGTTACAAAGTTAGTAAGATTTAGGCTGTTTTCGGAAATAATCACTGTTTACAGTGAGAAACACCTAAAGGTGTGTTAAGGAAAAAGTAAAGCGTCTCGCTACACGCCTATTGGCACTTGGGGGTTGGAGGTATAGCTCCTACTCTTTCTTGACCTCGGCACTAGATGGGGGTGAGTGGTCAGCATCACGCCCCGGCCGCGCTTTACTCCCCAGAAAGGGCCCCGGTACCCATTGGATAGGAGGCTGGGTGGGCCCCAGAGCCGGTCTGGACCCAGAGGCTAGAGGAAAAATTCTCTGCCTCCGTCGGGGATCGAACCCCGGTCGCCCAGCCCGTAGCCAGTCACTATATTGACTGAGCTATCCCGGCTCATGAGAAACATACAAAGAATGCAGTGTTGCTGATTGCTAAAGCAGCTGGTACATATAGTTACCACTCGGCTTTAAAGGGTTAAATAACTGAAAGAAATAAACGGCTACCCTACCTTTAACCGCTATGCTCCCCTTAACGCTAAGTGGAACGCCAAGGAACGGCGTTTCCTTCGCGATTTGCTTCTCAGTTTTGTTCGTCATCTGCAAAACACGATCCACATACTTGGCATCGAGAAGGGCCGCCTCGAATCGATTGTCCATCATGCAGTTCACTAAAGGGTTGATATCCCGAATACGTGAAATGTAGGCCTGAACCACTTCTTCGCTTGTGACCTGTAAATTATGATACGATGGTGTAATGCAATTCGTTTTAGTAACCTAACCTTCTTCTGCCTGTCTGCTAGATGAGATTTCGTTAAAATTAGTTTGAATTAAGAAATATAACTTCGAAATATGAAGATCAGAAGAAAATGGAGGTGTTGTGAGTGATCGGCATTAGTCATTTCAACTTCATTTCAAGATGTAAAGTTGCATTTTTCTCGACGGCGACTAGACGAAAAAATACTTGAGAGTATTTGGTTTCATGTACCAATACCAAGACCGGCTCAACTTAAATATGATAAAATAGTTAATTACCCATAAAGAATGACAAAAAATCTAAAGTAATAAACAACGTCTTATAACATTTGATTTCCCATTACATCAGAGGTTTATTTTTAAAATAATCACACCGTAGAAAACCACTGATTGTGCTTTCGTAATATGTAAGGAACTTAGGCCTACAACCAACATTTGTGCCTTTTTTGTATAAACCCTGCTTTTTTTAAGAGTGGAGATACTATATTGAGGAATACAAACCGTGGAACACGTACCTGTCTGGTTCTAATCATGCGGGCCAGATTAGTTGCACTGTGTAGCAAGAGTTTGTTGTGGATAGGTGGCAGTTTCTGGCTTCTCCGGATGTACCGCAGAATGATGAAAGGCTTCATTAAACATTTCAGTACCCACGACGAAAACCACAGAATCCAGATTTTCGGTCCACAGGACATTCTTGAAACAAATCACACGCTGCTCATAAGTTAATTAAGTATACTTCTTATATGACAACAAATCACACATCAACCAGAAAAGAACCTGATATGACAAAGTTATTTGCGTTTTCTACATGCCTATGATCGTCTGAATCGATTATATAATCAATGAAATTACACATCAAAACTTTTACTTATAATTAACATTCCTGATGTGGCCTGTTTTAAATTATGTTTAATTTCAACGGGTATTTCAATTCTAAAGGATTTTACACTTAAAACGTCGTGGTTTTAAAGAACATACGATGGAAAAAGTCCTGACAATGAATAATTTTAAGTTTTAAAGTGGTATTTATTATAAGTTTGTAAATATGTATGATATTTGACTAGGTTGAAAACTATAGAGAAACGAGGAACTCAAGACCGTAGCTAACCTCAGTACGTCCTTGTCTCTCTCCGACTAAAAGCCATGATAAATGACGCAAACGATAGCTGTTAATGCCTATTGTTTCTTTTGTACTTAACGATAAAACTTGACACAGAAGGTCAATAGATGTGGTGAACTAACAAATAATCTCTAAATATATATACAAATTTGTAGCTTAAATGCGTCATATTTTTGTTTATTAGATATAATTTTTTTAGTACTTCAAATACTTGATAACGTCTTCTTTCACTTTTCTGATGTTTTAGGTCAACTGTCGTCAATATTCAAGAATGCGAAGTGCTCCTTCTGGAGCAGTGATAGTGCGACTGGCTTGATATTTTTTTATTTCTTTTTTGTGAAGCGTTATATTTGTTTACTCGGCATTGTTGTGTTCCACAACAATGCCGCTATTAAAATTCGTGAACAGAAATAATATTAATTGCTACATGCAGAATGAAAACGGAAAGTTCTGTACTTTTATTCAGTACAACTGGATTTTTCATCATCCTTTGTTAGATATTCTTCTGGCAGGGATAATGCAAACTTAACAAGTGCAAGTTACATGGCCCAATTCCCCCCTCCCAAAAATTAACCTACTCATTTTTAAGGATTACTTTGATAACGTCAGAGAATTCTTCATGCGATTAAATATTATGGACCGGCCTGAAAGGATTTAAAATGTTTACAAACAGGATTCAGGTTTATCTTTTTATAACAAGGATTTGTCACTTCACTTTAAGTTAAATATATGAATATCCTTTTTGCTGCTTTCAGATTAAAAAGTAAAAATATTCCTTAATAACCTTATGAATTTCCATGTATTAACTATTAAAACATTAAATGTATAATATATATCTATATATTATATATATATATTTAATCAACACAAACATGACGCATTTAAGCTACAAATTTGTATATATATTTAGAGATTATTTGTTAGTTCACCACATCTATTATAAATATAATATTTTATACTACATAATGTTTTAATATTATATAATTTTAACAATATCATTTTAACTTCAACGTTTGTGTATGGACTGTAAAAATAAATATATATATATACAAAGTTCTTGTCCTCATCTTAGGCGCATATGACCTTGAAAGCTGACGCGACTTTAAAACCACAAACAAACCTCTTTTAATCACGGGCTTCAACAGTTTCACAGGTCATAGGCTTTTGACGAAAATGACGTTTTGTTTAATGTACAAAATTATTTTTTTTTCAAGGTAACATTAAATATATTTATACAACTAATCTATAGGACCCTATGAGATTTTATTGAAAGTTGCCGGGTTAAATTCTCTGTACTTCCATCTTTATGAGTTATGAGATTCAGAATATATTATATATCTCGTTCGATTTATTTTCCACGTTTTTCTCACAAACTTCTACTAAACAGAGTTAATAGACACAATGGTGATAATGTCTCCCAAAAATATTTGTGTGATAGTGTGGGTTTTTAATGTAGCCATGAATGCTTCTAGACGAGACGACCAAATTCGAGAAATTTTTTCAGTATCGTTACACGAATAATTATCAAGTAATATGACGAATTAGTAGTATTGGCGAAGGAAGAGGAGGAATTACAGAACATGATGGACAAGTTAGTGGAAACAGGTAGAGAGTATGGAATGGAAATCAACATTGAAAAATCAAAGGTAATGAGGATAGCACCGAGAGCAGAACCATTGAACGTTGTAATTGGAAACCAACAGATGGAGAATGTGGAGCATTTCAAGTACTTGGGAAGCATAATCACGACGGATGCTCTATGCACCAAGGAGGTAAAAGCAAGGATAGCCATGGCCAAGGCAGCTTTCGTCAAGAAGAGGATACT